TCTCTCTCTCTCTCTCTCTCTCTCTCTCTCTCTCTCGCTCTCTCTCTCTCTCTCTCTCTCTCTCGCTCTCTCTCTTCTCTTCTCTCGCCCCCCCTCTCTCCCTCTCTCCTTCCCCCATTTTCTCCCCCTTCGTCCCATCTATTGCCGATGGCGCCTCTCCCCCCCCCCCCCCCCCCTCCCTCTTACTGCGCTGGACGAAGCTAAATGTTTGCGACAAGTTTTTGCGCAACTCACACCCCTTGACGGACCTGTTTTCTGTTTTTTTTTTTTTTTTTTTTTTTTTAAGGTTGTTTATCTTCCTCTCTCCTACATAGACTTGGCGAATGGCTTATTTTGCATGTATACCCACACGCATATAGTCACACACACAAAAGTAGAAACAAACTCAAATACATTTAAACAAACTAAGGTCAAATCAAAAACACGCATGCATTAACAGACAAACAAGCAAAACAACAAACATATATGCAACACAGAACTATAAACACAACACATAGCACAACACACAACTAACACAACACACACAAACCAAAAACAAACTACCATATCACAGTCACAACAACCTATAACAAACATAAACACACTATACCATGATGCACACACAACCAACAAACATAAACACACATACACATGCACCACACAACGCAAACAAACATAAACACACATACACATACACACAAACCAAAAATAACATAAACACCATACACATGCACACACAACCAAACAAACATAAACACACATACACATGCACACACAACAATTAAACATAAACACACATACACATGCCAGCACAACCAAACAAACATAAACACACCAAACAACACATACAACCACACAAACAACACACATGCATGCACAACCAAACAAACATAATAACACAGCATACACATGCACACACAACCAAACAAACATAAACACACATACACATGCCACACAAACCAAACAAACATAAACACATATACCATACACAAAAACCAAACAACATAAACACACATACACATGCACCACACAACAACACAACCAAACAAACATTAAACACACATACACATGCACACACAACCCAAACAAACATATAAACACACATACACATGCACACACAACCAAACAAACATAAACACACATACACATGCACACACAACCAAACAACACATTAAACACACATACACATGCACACAACACAACATAAACAATTAACAAAATAAACACACATACACATACACACAACCAAACAAACATAAACACAATACACATGCACACACAACCAAATCAAACATAAACACACATACACATCGCACACACAACACACACACACAAACACACAAAACATAAACACACATACACATGCACACACACAACCAAACACAACAATAAACACACACCATACACATGCACACACAACCAAACAAACATAAACACACGCACATACACCACAAACCAAACAAACAATAACACACATACACATGCAAACCACACACACCACAACACACAAAACATAAACACACATAAACACACATACACATCACACAAACAAACATAAAACACATTAAACCACACATTACACATACCACACAACAAACAAACAAAACACACAATTACACATGCACACACAAACACCAAAACAAACATAAACACACATTACACATATGCACACACAACTGAAACAAAACATACACACACACTACACATGCACACACAATCATTACAAATACTTCCACAAACACCACACCTATAAACACACCCTGAAACAAGCGCCCACGCACACGGGCAGTCGCAGGCAAGCACACATCCCACAGTGAAAGCACAGTCCATGAGTTTTTTTTTTTCGGTCGGAACAATGAAAGCCAAAAAAATTATGAAACCGAAGCATTGTTTTTGTCTAATTTACTTTGTTTTTGCTTCATTTATATATATATATATATATAGTATATAATATATATATATATATATATATATTAATATATATTATATAATATATATATATATATATATATTTACTTGTTAATTTATTCATTATTCATTTATCTATCCATATATGGCGTATTTGTTTATGATCTCTTCCATCCATCTAATTAATTTCCTCTAATTAATGTATCTACCTATCTATTCACTTATCAATTTCTTCATTTACCTGTTCAATCATTAACCATACCATCTGTTCATTCATTCGTTCAATAGGATCAAACGAACAAAAACAAAATTCCAAGTGAACGACAAGAATAACACTTCATAAATGGAACAAAATGTCAAACGTTTTTTTCAGTTGATTTTTCCATAGTGATCCCACTTTGTTTATCTTAATTCGGGAATGTAAAATAAGAGTGATTTTGGATTTTAGATTCGATTACGGATGATACAAAAACCGTGGAGATGTTTAGATTTAAAATATGAGATGTTATTGTATGTTTCTCAACTTTCCTGGATGTAGGAAATAGTGGGGAGGGAGGAGGGAGGGAGGAGGGAGAGAGAGAAGAGAGAGAGAGAGAGAGAGCATAGAGAGAGAGAGGAGGAGACCGCGAGGCAGGAACGAGAGATTGAGAGATCGGAGCGAGGAGAGTGCGGCGGAAGAGAGAGAGAGATCGAGGAGAGGAGAGAGAGAGGAGAGGGAGAGGAGAGAGAGAGGAGAGAAGAGGCGAGAGTGGAGAGAGAAAAGGAGAGGGCGACCGGAAGGAGAGAAGGAGAGGGTAAAAAATAAGGGTGGACGGCTCGGGATTGAGGCTGGTTTATGAAAGATGGCGGCAGAAGGCGGGAGAAGAGGAACACAGGGATAGAGAGGGAAAGAGAGAGAGAAAGAAAGAGAAATGATGTGACGAGAAAAAGATACGAAGAGAGAGAGAGAAGGAGGGAGGAGGGAGAAAGAGAGAAACACACACACACACACACATCACACACACCACACACACACACACACACACAACACACACACAACACACACAACACACAGCACACAGAAAGAGAGAGATCCGAAGAAGAGGAGATAGGAGAGAGATGAGAGAGAGAGAGAGAGAGAGAGAGGAGGAAGAGAAGAGAGAGAGAGAGAGAGAGAGAGAGAGAGAGAGGCGATGAGAGAGAGAGAAGGGGCGAGGGGAAAGAGCCTGGGGAGCGGCGGAGAGGAAGCAGAAAAAAGAATATGAGATTAAAAGAGAGAGATAGATGATAGATAGAGAGAGAGAGAGAACGGGGGAGAGGAAGAAAATATGAGATAAAGAGAGAGAGAAGAGATAACTTAGATAGAGAGAGAGAGAGATGGCGGTGGGAGGAGGCAGAGGACAAAGATAGCAGAGAGCCGAAAATTAAATTCAAATTACTTTATACCATTTGTTACAATGGTTCTTTTTTATTACATAAAAAGTGATTTTACAGTACATTTAAACATAAGATAAACATAGTACAGATGATAAGAAGTACATATAAGTCTTGCCTATTCTTTTGTTTTGAAACCTAATGGCACTGGTGATTTAGATGTTCCTTTATTATGTTATGATAATATTTGGGTTCTAGATCATGGACCACTGTTAAGCTTGGATCAGGTTCTAGATCATGGACCCACATGGTAAGCTTGGATCACACTAATCTTCTCTGACCTGGCATCCTTAGACAGCCTCGACGAAGTCCCAGTGCTGACACACGCATGCAAATACATAAAATAACTCTCTTTTATCGCTCTGTTGCCCTTATGTTTTTCTATCTCCCTTTCTCCTTGATGTCCCTTTCTCTCTATCTCTCTCCCTCCCTCTTCTCTCTCTCTCCCTTTCTCTCTCTTTCTCTCCCTTTCTCTCAAAAAGCTGTAGCTGACTTGAGTTCGGCGAGGTTGTCTAGGGACCCCAGCAGAGAGAGGACTAGTGTGACCCTAGTGTGACCAGTGTATCATTTTCTGAATTCATATGCAATTATCATGGTTGCATTTGTATTGCACTTTCAGCCAATTGTTTATATGTATGGGGTAAT